AAGATGGCGGCTCCTGGAACAGCCAAGCATCCCGGACTAGAAAGCAATAGATTTCTTGCTTCTGCCACAAATTCCCCTAGCTGTGAGCCTTCCAACCTTCTAAATATTCCTTTATATGTGGTTCAGAGTTCTGGGACCATCCCCCGAGCCTGCTTGGTCGGGTATTTTGTGTTGTTGTTGGCAGAGCGTTGTACTACACGTCCACTCAATCCGCCATCTTGTTTGTTCCTTCCCAACCCACTAACTTTTGACAACTTCCAATTTTCCTAGGTTTACACTTTATATATTGCATGTTCTGATTATTAATGTTCACAGTTATTTCTTCCCATTTTGAGTTGTGCCACATCAGAAAATGAAGGTCCCAAATGCTTAACTCCAATCATGTCATTAAGGTCAATTCTACTTTGAGGAGGCAGCTCTTTCATCAGTTGTATTTTGGGTGTCTCCCAATCTCATCTTCTGGCCCTGTATCTGACAATGTTCCCCTGTTATTCATAAGGCTTTTACTGGCTAACCATTATGAAAACGTTCACCATTCTTTTTCCTAGTCTCTCTTAGTCTGGAAGCACCAGTGAAACCTATCCACCATGGTGATGAGCTGGAATTTAAAATACCAGTGGCATAGCTTCCAGGATCACAGTAATACAGGCCACCACAATATGAAAAACCGACAAATGAGTGGTGGGATTTTTGTGTGTTTTTTTCTAGTGGGAATTTCTATTTAGTACATTCACTGCATATTTGGTGTTGTTAAGTGCCATCGAGTCAGTTCCGACTCATAGCAACCCTGTATAGTGTTTCTGATAATAGATGCATTTGATAAACCATCTATGGTAGCTTATTAAAATATAACTAAATTTTTCAAATGTCATATAACATCACAATAAATGGAGAAAAAAATTAAAGTTGTTATTAAAGACTTCATTTTGCTTGAATCCATAATCAACACTCATGGAAGCAGCAGTCAAAAAATCAAATGTTTATTGAATTAGGCAAATCTGCTGCTAAAGACCTCTTTAAAGCGATCAAAAGCAAAGATGTCACTTTGAGGACTAAAGCGCACCTGACCCAAGTCATGGTATTTTCAACTGCCTCATATGGATGTGAAAGTTGGACAATGAATAAAGAAGACCGTAGAAGAATCGATGCATTTGAATTACAGTGTCAGTGAAGAATATTGAAAGTACCATGGACTGCCGGAAGAACAAACAAATCTGTCTTAGTAGAAGTATAGCCTGAAGGCTCCACAGAAGTAAGGATGGTGAAGAACTTTCTGTCTTGTTCTTTGGACAATTTGTAAAATGGAGAGACAAGGAAAAAGAGGTGGCCCCCCAAATGAAATGGATTGACACAGTGACAGAAACAAAGGACTCCAGCACTACAATTGTGAGGATAGCACAGGACTGGGCAGTGTTTTGTTCTGTTGTGCATAGTGTTGCTCATGAGTTGGAACCGATTCCCCAGCACCCTAACAACAGCAAACAACTAGAAAATCAATGTTTTGTAGTAAGGATACAGCTTGTCAAACATAACTCAATTACAATCTCACAAGAAAATTGCCAATAAAGATTGCTTTAATCAAGGGAGGACAAATACCATTATTAAATTAGATCTATAGATCTTAGATCCTAAGATATATCTACTCAAGTTTTAAGTGTGCAACTTTTCCATTGCAGAGCAAAAGACATTCCTCCCTTTCAAAAATACAGTTTACAGTCAAGGAAATTTTTTCTAAAAACATTTTGATGAGAAAACGGACCACTGCTAATCAAGAAATGTATGAAACATACCTTAATTTCTTTACGCAGACGAACACTGCTCATTTTAAAATGAGCAGTTGGACCACGTGGCAAGTGACTCAAAATAAGTCCATCTGTTGATAAAGTTAAGTCCATGCTGAAAGTCTATAATCCAAAATTTAAATTATTTAATTAACTGGTCTTCATATACCCCAAACCAAAACCAAACCAGTTGGACTCCAGTAAATTCTGACTCTTGGCAACCCTATGTGTCAAAGTATAACTATGCTCCATAGAATTGCAATCACTGATTTCTTTCAAAGTGGACCATCAGTCCTTTCTTTCAAGGCGTAGCTGTGTGGACTAGAACCTCCAACCTTTTGGTTAGCAGCCAAACATGCTAACCATTTCTGAGATATCCAGAGGCTCCCTGTATGCCCAAAGGGCATAAAATCTGTTGCTAGAATGGGTACACGTATTCCTCTGCGTTAACAAAATTTTCCTACCACCCTCAAAGGTCAATGCACATTGGAAATGTAAAGGTAGATGTTTTGTAACAAGAGGAGGGAAGCAGTTGCTTTTGCAGGCCAGGAGCGGAGATCCCTGAGACCATCAAGGGAGAAGAGTGGAGTGCAGAACCCTATCCAGAGAAGCAGTGATGCCAGAGATGGAGGCAGAGACAATAATGTGAAGAGATGGAGCGACTGGGGACTCTGGACTTAGGGAGGGAGAGGGGCTGTGTGCAGACGTCTGGGGGTCCGGCTTGTGGGGTGTATATACCCTTTGGTTGTTTGATGATGCATGGAGGGCACTGTAATCATTACAATGAAATGAAATACGATAGGATGAATGTAAACCTAAATGTTCTCCCATGTAAACTATCACTTAGTTCACAATAAAAACTAAAAACAAAAAACCAACAATAACAAAAAAAACCCTCAACGTACAGTAGTCAACCTAAGTCTCTGCAAAAAAATCGATTATTCTATAGTTCTACTTTTTCTTTTTACAAAATGGTAAAATGCTTGTTGAGCATTCATTTAAAGTAGGAGAAATAAGCAATCAATCAATGTACTATTCTAGTAGGAAAAGATTAGAAAGAATGAGATTCTAGAATAATTGTAGCAATACAAATAGTTTATAGACGTATACAGACTTAGAACCGTAAATATGTACTTTTAAGTGTTCCATGTGGTTAGATGACGTATTGCATTAGGCAAATCTGCTGCACAAGACCTTTTTAAAGTGTTGAAGAGCAAAGATGTCAGCTTGAGGACTAAGGTGCGTCTGACTCAAGCCATGGTATTTTCAATAACCTCACATGCATGTGAAAGCTGGACAGTGAATAAGGAAGACTGTAGAAGAATTGACGCCTTTGAGTTATGGTGTTGGAGGAGAATACTAAAAGTGCCATGGGCAGCCAAAAGAACCAACAGATCCGTTTTGGAAGAAGTGAAGCCAGAGTGCTCCTTAGAGGACAAGATAGCCAAACTTCATCTCTCATACTTTGGACATATTGTCAGGAGGGAACAGTTGCTGGAGAAGGCTATCATGTTTGGTAAGACAAAGGGTCAGAGAAAAAGAGGAAGACCCCCCAATGAGATGGACTGACCAGGTGGCAGCATCGATGGACTCAAGCGTGGCAACAGTAGTGAGGTTGGCCCAGGATCATACATTGTTACGTTTTGCTGTGCATAAGGTCACTATGAGTCGGTGCCGACTCGATGGCACCTAACAACAACAACTATGGTTAGATAAGCTGTTACCTTTGAGTATTATCCCACAAGATCAGAAAACCCTATCTAAGCTCTTCTTGAAGTCAAGGTTATTAGTGGTTTCTCAAGAGACAAACTCTTCCTCTTGAGATTATTATACAACAAATTAAAATCAACTGACTGATTATGAACTATGTACTGTTCATAGTTATACTAGACTAAAATTATACTAGACTAAAAATGAAATGTAACCACAATCAGCAGGGTTAGGAGTCCAAGGACTTTTAAAGTCGAGGCTGCGGCAAATGAAGATTACAGTCTGTACATTTCCTCGACTCTCTGCACTACAGTCTTATTTTATCCTGCAACATCTTTCTTTCCAATGATTAGTTTTGGGCAATTTAGTTCAATGACACTATAATAAAGGAGCTCTGGTAGCGTAGTGGTTACAAATCGGGCTGTGAGCCGCAAGGTCAGCAGTTCGAAACTACCAGCCGCTCCGCGGGAGAAAGATGAGGAGGTCTGCTCCTGTAAAGATTTACAGCCTCGGAAACCCTGTGTAGGGTCACTATGAGTTGGAACCGACTCCACAGCACATAACAACAACAACAATAATCAGGCTGAAATTATGACAATGGACAAAGCTTTCACTTTATACAATTTGTTCAGAACATTTTTACATAAACATTATTTCATCAGATCCTTTTAAGAACTAAACCTTTAATGGTGTTAGAATTAAGATTTGTGCACACTATAAGTTTTACCAAATAGATGTTGCCATCTCTACTATGTTGCTACAATTATTCTAGGATCTCATCCTTTCTAATCTTCCCTATGAGAAAGGACTCAATGTGCCACCTCCTTTGTAATGAGATCAAAAGAACTGAATGGTGCCTGCCTACCATTATGAAATATTTTGATACAAGCTTCTATAGAATAACCTTGATCATAGGGATAAATGTAAAACAGAATTTCAATTTCTCATGGTCCCAGACTTTCTGGAGTCAGGAAAGTTGGACAAACCCCTGAAACTATTGCCCTGAGGTAATTTTAAATCTTAAACCAAAAATAAACCCTGAAGCCTTCTTAAAGATAACTAACTAGGGAAAAAATAAAATCTACCTTGAACATTAAACTCTTACCAGGACTTCTTAAGCACTATCTATATGGGATCAAATTGACGACAAAAACTTGAAAGTCTGGTTGGCATCTTGGGGGACAGTGAATTTGTTAATGGGGGAAGAACAACTCAGAAATGGAAGGTGAGAATGGCTGCACGACTCAAAGAATGTCATCAATGTCACTAAATGGTACATGGAGAAACTGGTGAATTGGTGTATGTTTTACTGTATAATTTCAATACAAAAATGACTCAATATGTCTTCAAAGTACCTTCTTAGCTATCTACTTTCAAGCTTCCCCATACTGGTTCCTAATTGGTAGGCATTCAGAGTCTCATATAAAATCTTTTAGGCTCCTACTGTTATTTACCAGAATTTGTCACCGATTTAACAGTCCTAAATCCAATCTCTCCAATTAATCTGTAAATCTTAGAAAACATACTTGTTTCTTACAGATATTTGTGCCCACCATGTAGCAAATTGAAAGTATATCCACCACTATTTCTGTATCACTTAAACATCAAAGAAATCAAACTTGAGGGAAGAAGGATCTATAAAGATCATTTCTTCCAACCAAATCAAGGTTTGAATCCTCTCTAGAACATTCGTACTAAGTTGTGGTTTGTGTTAAAAGCAAACTATAAAATTGTATCAGTTCCTAAAGTAGCTTCCTTTCCTGAGTACCTGTACTTTGTACAAATGTTTTATTTACACTATTGCTGATTTCTAAAACAAATCATTGAAAACAAGAGTCATTATCTCTGTGAGGAAGAGGTTGAGAAGATCAAGTAAATTACTCAGAATATCAGAGTTAGGCGCAGTAAATCTCAACCGGGGTGTGCTGCACCAGCACCCTTGATTGGGACCAGTCTACAGAAATATATGGAAACATTTTTTTATTTGTCATGATTAAGTGTTACTGGCACTTAGTACTAATGTCCAGGAATGAAAACATCTTACAAAGTGTCAACAATACAGCACAAAGAATTGTTGTTGTGGTTAAGTGCTGTCGAGTTGGTTACAACTCATAGCAACACTGTATGGGGTTTCCAAGGAGCAGTTGGTGGGTTTGAATTGCCAACCTTACAGTTTGCAGTCCAGTGCTTATCCTACAGCACCACACCAGCACAAAGAATTAGCCTACCTAAATGCCAATAATGCCGTATTTAAAAACAATGAATACAGGACCTCTTTGTATTTATACAATTTCCAGTTTACTCTACCCCATAGTTACTGAAATGCTTACTACCATTACTATCAGTTACTATGCCTTATAAACATAGCACATTTAATATAATTTATGTGGAAACTCTACTAAAGATGGACTCATTTCCTACATTTAAGAAACTATTTGTAGGAATCACTACCATTAGGTGCTTCTGTTATTAATTCTACTCTTTCTTTTTCCTGACTGAAACAAAGATTACCCTGTAGTATTCCTTTTTTTCCTTCTCCTTCCTTCCTGTACTATCTTCCTCAGAGTACAATACTGTCATTTGTATGTTTGTGCAGATATTTTTGGAAGTCAAGATAACTGAACTCATTCAGTTTCTAGGCCTTATTTTTATAATTTCTTTATCCAAGATAGGCTTCCAATCCTCCTTACCAATGTCTTTATTAGTATAAAGATCATTCTCAAATAGAGACAAAAGCAAATAAAGAGTTCTGCTTTCTTAGTGACTTTCACCAATACTGCGTCATCAATTGCATCACTACACATCAATAAGAAATTAAAAAGATCTTTGATATTATAGCATAAAAATCTAAGTGAGATTTTGATCTAAGAAACTCATTCTTAAAGGTTTTTGCTATCTACTACATAACTGTACTCCAAAATTATAATCTTGATTTTAGTGTAAGGAGTAGGCAATTTCATAATTGGATTAAGTTACTTAACCAGCCTAGTTTTTTAATTAATATAATTCAGGTCTGTGTATTAACAATGCCATAGTGAGCTGACAGTTAATTTACCCTATAATGTGTCCAGTATGGTAAACAAAGAACTATTAATATTTTTTGAGTAAAAATAAATAAATTCTACAAAGAAAGAGAAAGTAAGCTTTCTAAAGGCAACAGATGGAATAACTGAAACATGTGCCTACATAAAATACTTCAGATAAAAACAGAATATTTATTGAATTGATGAATGTCTGCTTCATAAGAGCAAGAGTTACTATAGCAGTCTTGAAATGATGACAGTCTTCTATTTGCAAAAATAGAGAGAAAAGCAATTAGAAACAAAAACGCTGCACCATTTTGGGTGGCAGCTAAAAAAAAAACCAACCTAATAAAAGTTAGCAACAACCTTAAGAACAGATCCTTTCTCCAATAGCTACTATCCAAGAGATCTTAGTTACTATGGTGCATTAACCACAATCCAAGCCAAGAAATTCCCACATCACAAAGTTTGTTTTAGTTTCTGAAAAGCAAGTGGCACAAGTAAATTAAGTAATGTGTTTAAGTTGCATTGACAGCAAGGAAAGCAAGCCATAAACATTTAGAGTAAAAACAGCCTTTTACCCATTATAACTTACAAAGTTATCCTGGCAGCAGAACAGAAAGGCCTGTCCTTACTTTTCAAAAATCCTCAGTAATTTTAATAATTTTGACCCATTCACCTGGTCATCCTGTAGTTACTGATTTCACAACCACCATTTGATAAGTAACAATAGCAGCAACTGAAACAAACCTAGATATCCTCTACATCAACTCTTATCTCAAGATAGTGAGAAATATCTTAAAATCATATGACACACTCTCAGATCTTATACTCATGATCATCTACCTAAAAAACAATCCTGCGAAGATTCTTCTAGTAACATACAGTCTAGTCAGACAAATGACTTGCAGATTGCCAACTGAGCCAGCCAATTCAGAAGGTTCTCTTTCTGCACCGAGCATTCTTCCTATGCCTTACTGAACATCATTCACCCACATACACCACGATCCAACTTAAGGAACTCTTTCTCTGTAAAGACTTCCTTCCTGGTATCCTCAGTATATAGTTTACCAGTCACTGGGTTTCCACGTTATCTTCTATGAAGCTATTTACCTGTATTAGTCATAGTACATTATAATTGTTAGTTGCCAGTGTCTTTCTCCTGCTACACTGTGCGCTCCCTGATCGACAGCTTTATCGTTTGCATCTTTTACTGACAAACAAGGCCTGCTCCATTGTTGTTGTTAAGTAACGCTGAGTCGATTCTGACCCATAGTAACCCTGTATAGGGTTTCTGAGGAGCAGCTGTTGAGCATGAACCACCGGCCTTGTGGTTCAAAGCAACTTTGCAGTCCAGAACATTAACCACAGTTCCACACAGTATGTGCTTAATAAATGTTGCTGAATGAAGGAAAGTTGACTGAATACAATCTTGGATAGAAATGCTAATATTTTTGGTCAAAAAAATTACACTGTGAATGTTAGTGAGAATTTATTGTTTATAAATTCTCATTCTTTTAAATATATTTTAAAGAGGACAGTAAAACTTTCTTAGAAAAATAAAGGATACTTGGTGTTTTGCGATCTTCATTAATAACAATCAGATCTGTGAAATCTCTGGAGATGCACTGAGGAATAATTTTTTTCAGAGCCAGTCCTCTTCTGTAATAAACATGTGAATTTGGTATAACTGTGGAGAGCTGTTCACACAGTCGTACTGTTCTCTGGAAAACAAAATAACAAAATTCCCAAAGGTGAAAAAGAATCCAATCTTACATGGTATTATAAGGAAAGGTGTAATGGTTATTATACAGATGCCGTTAAGTCATGGAGACACCTGTGTGTCATAGTAGAATGGTACTTCATAGACTTTCAATGGCTGATTTTTTGTAAGTAGATCACCAGGCCTTTCCTCTGAAGCACCTATGGGTAGATTCGAACCTTCAACCTTTTGATTAGCAACCAAACCTATTAACCATTTGCACCACCCAGGGACTCCAATGATTATAAGAAGATAGTGTTACTATCTTATTAGAGAACCAGGCTGGAGAAAAATGAAGTCTAAACAGCATCCCATTTGTTATCAAAGGCAGATCATCCTACAATAGTGGTTCTCAAGCAAGGATGATTTTGCCCTCCCTGGGGACATTTTGCCCTCCTTGGGGACATTTGGCAATTTTTGTTGTCATGAATGATCACAGAGGATGGGTATTACTGGCATTTACTGTGCAGAGGCTAAGGACGTTGATAAGCAACCTACAATGCACAAGACAGCCTCTCAAAACAAAGAATTATCCAGTGAAAAATGCGAAATTCTGTTGAAGTTGGGAAACCCTATCATGAAGAGCCATACTTAGTGAATCTATAACACAACACCAGTATTCCGTTTTATTCAGCTTATTCACAGGCATTAAGTAAAACAATGAACAATTCAACTATTCTCAATAGTTTTTAGGGCAAAATGATATAAGCAAATTAAGAACAGATGAACTATATTAGTCACAATGCACTTACCCCATGAGGTCTGTCTGATGTTGTGATGAGAATCTTGGGGGAAGTTTGTCTATTGAAGTAAGAAGCAAATTCATCTGTTGCTTCATCATAAGCAACCTAAAAAGAGAGGAGAGAGAGAATAATACATTGAACAAATAAATAATACACCGAACCAGGATTTCAAAAGTGGTTCCAGCAGGATTCTTTAGTACCGACTACCGAGCTAGTGAATCCTGGTGTGGTGCTGTGGGTTAATGTGCTGAACTGCAAAGTTGCTTTGAACTGCAAGGTCGGCAGTTCAAGCTCACCAGCTGCTCCTCAGAAACCCTATACAAGGTTGCTATGGGTCAAAACGGACACGATGGCACTTAACAACAATGCTGAGCTAATAGGGTTTTTAAAGAAGGCCCATTAATAGTCACATGAAGAAGTTGAATGACTTCTCCGCAGAAAACAAATATAAATCAGGATAAAACATTCTCCAAGATAAAGTATAAGGAGCTCTAGTACGTAGTGGTTATGAATCGGGCTGCTAACCTCAAGGTCAGCAGTTCGAAACTACCAGCTACTCTGTGGGAGAAAGAGGCTTTCTGCTCCTGTTAAGAATTACAGCCTCGGAAACCGTGTGCAGGGTCACTATGAGTCGGAACCGACTCCAAAGCATATAATCACCACCACCAGGATAAAGCATATGCCCTGGTGGTGCAGTAGGCAAAGCACTGGACTAACCAAAAGACCGGCAGTTCAAACCCACTAGCTGCTCTGCAGGAGAAAGTTGTGCAGCCTGTTTCCATAAAAATTTATAGCCTTGGAAGTCCTATGGAACAGTTTTACACAGTCCTATAAGGACAATGGAGTCCTGGTGTGGCGCTGTGGGTTAATGCGCCAGACTGCAAAGCCGTTTGAACAGCAAGGACGGCAGTTCAAGCTCACCAGCTGCACATCGGAAACCCTATACAGGGTCACTATGGGTCAGAACTTACACAGCACTGGACTGCAAAGGGTAGTTTAAATAGCATGATTGGCTAGCCGCTCCTCGAAAACCCTACATAGGGTCTCAAGGAGTCAGGACCAACTCCATAGCATTTAATAACAACATAGAAACAATATGAGACAAAATTACCTCGAGGGTAGTGGGTTTGCCTTATGCTCTTGGTTTTCACATGCATTACCTTTCAATTCAACAATTTTACCTTCTAATTTTTCTCAAAGATAAAGCTCCAAATACTATATATTGTTGTTGTTGCTGTTATGTGCTGTGGAGTCATTTCCGACTCATAGCGACCCTATACAGGGTTTCCGAGGCTGTAAATCTTTACGGGAACAGAAAGCCTCATCTTTCTCCCGCGGAGCGGCTGGTAGTTTCGAACTGCTGACCTTGCGGCTCGCAGCCCGATTCATAACCACTACGCTACCAGAGCTCTTTTAATACTATATATAAAACATTATTTATAATGATAAAATTGAATCAAAGACTGAGGAGTAACAAACAAGATATCTACATAATCTCAAAGTATGTCCTCCCATAATATTTCTTACTTAAAAAGAAGAATACCATAATTTTATAGCGGAGAAACTTGACAAACACCAGTTTATGTAATCAAGGTGACATCACTATAGTAATGGATAAATCAACATCATGTGACTTATTACATGAGGCACTGAAAAGAACTGATCACAGCTATGGCAATCCTGCCAACCCTGTGAATGAATCCAATCATGAGGAAATATCAGACAAATCCACACTGAGGGGCCTTCTACAGAATACCTGGTCTGTACTCCTCAAAAATGATAGTACCACAGAAAGAAAAGGCAGACTGAGAAATTGTCCTAAATTAAGGACAGTTAAAGGACTCCTGATGTCACACTGTAGGATCAGCACTGGACTGGGAACTATAAGGTTGGCAGTTCAAACCCACCAGCTGCTCCTTGGAAACTATACAGGGTTGTTATGAGTCAGAACCAATTTGAAGACACTTACCAGCAAAAACAAAGAGCCATCATAACAGAATAAAGACATGACTTGATAATTTTCTTTTGTAAAAAAGACATTACTAAGACAACTGATAAAATCTAAAATAAGATCTACAGATTACATATAGTACTTGTATATCAATTGTCTGGGTTTAGTATAGGTAAAAAAAACACTGAAGTACACAGAAGAAAGACACATCACATCTGTCACTCTCAAGCCTTCCAGATAAAATATTAATGAAAACCAAGTGTGGTGTAGTTCAACATTTAGGTATTCTTGACGAAGCATTTACATGAATTGCTATTTTCTATAAAGTCTGAAATTAGGTCAATATAAGTAAAATTAAAATGCCTATAAAAATACATATACACATAAAACTATAAAACTTCTCCCCCATCTACTGATAGCAACTTGATTCCAACTCACAGTTACTCTGTATAGGGTTTCTAAGACTGTAAATCTTTATAGGAGCAAAAAGCCTCATCTTCTTTCTCCTCAGGAGTAGCTGGTGGATTTGAACTACCGACTCACTAGTTAACAGTCAGTGCTTTTCCCAAAGCACCACCAGAGCTGCTCCACAGATACTCCTTAATTTCTTTTATATTTTGCCTTCAGAAAAATTGTGTGCTTGTGCATGCGTGTGTGTGATAGAGATGGATAGACAACAGTCTGAAAACAGATGCCAAAACACAACGGGCATCCAATTAACCTTTGCTGGAAGACTGACTCATCAAATTATGCCAAGAGATATCTGAAAGATGTTGATGGAAGCACTGTTTGAATGTAAAAACAAAAGGAGAGTAACCCAGTTATCTATAAGCAACAAATTTTGGAATATTTACAAAATAAATTACAAACCCAAGTTTTCTTAACAAAAATTAAAACCCTGAATCTTTCACTGCACTGTCACACACTATTAAAAGGGAAAATGTACAAAGAGAAATAATCTTTAAATCAAGAGTTTTTGAGGAAACAACAAAAAACCCTATTCCTGAGTATCAAAATGTCTAATGCTACCAAAACTCTGTAGTATGAGAAATACTTTTCAAATGACATAAAACTTTTATTACAGGTACTATAAATAATAAATATCAAGATATATCTAGGCATAAACACAACACATTTCTAAAATAGAAATAGCTACTGTGTTTTTTTTAATAGCATTACTGGACAATTCAACTATGAAATAATGAACAGAAAATAGTACTTTGCCAATACCATATAGACATCAGCCCATTATACAACTTCACCAGCACTTTAAATATCAACATATAACATGTTAATTACTTGAGACTTCTAATATTACCTCTTCATCATTAGGGTCTACTGTGGTTTCATCATATACTCTCTGGTTGTCTATGGTCTTGGGTACAGGTTTTGGTGGTGCCTAAACAAAAGAAAAGGTATTACATTTTAGAAGCATTAATACTTCAGTACATTAGTATACACACATTAATACTTTTACATTAGTGTTGGCGATGAATAGCAAATCTAAAAAGAGTGAAAACATTCCATCTGGTTCTCATTACAACTCCAGACTACAATAATTCTACAGACATTAAATAACAGGCTTTTTACCTTTCCAAGAATAATCCACCAATCCTTTGTCAATACGTCGAACTGTGGTGGCTGGTATGCTACTGTAATGATAGAAGCTATGCCACTAGAGAACAGGTTTGAGCTGAGCTTCTAAAGATAGACTAGGAAGGAGGACAGGCAAACTACTTTTGAATGTTTACTCACTAAAAACATTATGAATAGTTGTGGAATACTGTCAGATATAGTGAGGGAAGAAGAACCCCTCAGGTTGGAAGGCATGCAAAATACAACTGGGGAAGAGCTGCTTCCTCAAAGTACAGTTGACTGTGATGATGCTAATAGAGTACAGCTTTCAGGATCCTCATTGGCTGATGTGGAACAACTAAAAATGAGGAGAAACAAGGATGTGGAACGAGGGCTATCATTGCTGACATCAGATGGATTTTGGCTGAAACCAAAGAATATCAGAAAAATATTTCCCCATTCTTTACTAATTATGCAAAGGCTTTTGACTGTGTGGATCATTACAAGCTATGGTCAACACTATGAAGAATGAGTATTCTGGAACACTTAATTGTGCTCATGAGCATCCTGTACATAGACCAAGAGACAGTCTCTGGAACAGAACAAAGGGTATACTGAATGGTTTAAAATTAGGAAAGGTGTACACCAGGGTTGTATTCCTTCTCTGTACTTATTCAATCTGTACACAGAACAAATAATCTGAGAAACTGGATTATATGAAGAAGAATGTGGCATTAGGAATGGAGGGAGACTCACTAACAAACTGTAATATGCAGATGATATAACCTTGATTGCTGCAAGTGAAGAGGACTTAAAATACTTACTACTGAAGACCAAAGACCACATGCTTCTGTATGGCTTGCACCACAACGTAAAGAAAACAAAAATCCTCACCACTGGACCAATAAATAACATAATTATAAACAGAAAAAGAAGACTGAAGCTGTCAAAGACTTCATTTTTCTTGTATCCACTATAAACAACCATGGAAGCAGCATTTAAAAAATCAAATGAAATATCGCCATTAGGCAAATCTGCTGCACAAGATCTTTTTACTGTGTTCAAGAGTTAAGATGACAGTTTGAGGACTAAGGTGTGCCTGACTGAAGTCATAGTATTTTCAATAGCTTCATATGTACATGAAAGTTGGATAATGAATAAGGAAGACCTTAGAAGAATAGATGCATTTGAGTTATGGTGCTGGTAAAGAATATTAAATGTACCATGGACTGCTACAAGAATAAACAAATCTGTGTCAGAAGAAGCACAGCCAGAATGCTCCTTAGAAACCAGGCTGATGAGACTTCATCCCTTACACTTCAGAAGTATTATCATGAGGGACCAATCCCTGGAGAAGAACATCATACTCGGTAAAGTGGAGGATGAGCGAAAAAGAGGAAGACTTCCAATGAGATGGATTGTCACAGTGGCAACAGCAAAGGGCTCAAGCTTAACAGCTATGGCAAGGATGGTGCAGGTCTGGGTAGTGTTTTGTTCTGCTACGCATAGGATCAATATGAGTCAGAACACACTCGACTGTGCCTAACAAAAAGTAGAGAATTGTTAATATTGAATGTATTGGCTTAAAACCAGGTAGAAGTAGCAAAGAAAATAGGTAGTGATCAAAATAATTATTCAATAAGGCAGGTGTGGGGAACTATTTTCTGCCAAGGGCCATTTGGATGTTTATAACATCATTTAATATAAATTTATGTTGCTACGAAAAAAGCTCCTGGATTTACTAAATTTCAAGTCCCACCTGCGGTTGCCTTGGCATGGTCAGACCATGATTTCGCAGGTTCATATGGCCCATGGGACAGACGTTCCCCACCCCTGCACAAAGGAGAAAAATATCAAAGGGTAAGGAAAAAAAACAACAGGAAAAACTACAAAGTGCATACAAGGAAGTTTAAAAAAATTTGTGGAAAAAGCATTTTTTGAGCCCCTTCATATATTTCTGTAGTTTTGTTTCATTGCTTTCAGGGAGCTATTCAGAAATACCGAAGCTACCTATTAGTTTCCATTCAATTACCTAGTAATTATAGTCTGGGGTGTTTTTATGGTACGGAGCTTAAAGGAGGAAGAAGTAATTCATACAAAGAAATATGTATTATAGCTGGAAATAACAAAAAACACTAGTCCAACAATAGGGTAATATCTAAACATTTATGGCATATCAACAGGATGGCAGACTGTTAGATCAATAAATATACATATACTCAGCATGGAGTCCTGGTGTGGTGCTGTAGGTTAATGCGTCAGACTGCAAAGTCACTTGAACTGCGAGGTTGGTGGTTCAAGCTCCCCACCTGCTCCTTGGAAACCCTCTACAGGGTTGCTATGGGTTGGAATCGACTTGACAGCACTTAATAACAACAACAAACATACTCAGCACAGACCAAGAAATTATATAAGTAAAATGTTAAATGAAAAAAACTGAGGAACATAGAATTACAGGCAAACACTAACTGAAACTAAATAATTTAGCCTAGATATGAAAAAAATATGAATAAACTATTTAAGACTTTAATTATTCTGTATAAAAACAAGTTGAAAATAATTCTTTAAAGAAGGGAGTCATAGAAAGCCACCTTCCAGCCAAAAAAAAGAGACTATTTTCAATGATGATAAGCATATTAATTTGCTCTAATCAACAAAAAATTGAAAGTAAAATAGACTAAATTTGCTTGATCTACTTATTTAGCAAGTCAAACTGGTCTAACATCGACTATTTCACATTAAGAGAATGCATGAAAAAGCAGAATGCTTAGTTTGTACACAGTCTTTATATTTTTCCCTTCTTCAAAAATGTTTATCCTTATTTGGTACCTCTGCTTAAGATAAAGGAGTAGGAAAGATTATTGAAGCCCGGTTTAATCATTTTGTAGGTAAGAATAACCTAGGAACATCTATAAAGTAAAATGAAAGTAAATGAAACTACCTTAGCTGTGCAGTAACATGTGCGCATTAATTTTTTGAAATTTTCAATAGAAAGCTTTCACTTCATCTCAAGACTTCAAGAAAAGCCCAAAGCTTTCTTGCTGCATTACCTCTGCTCCGCTTAGCTATACTTCACTCAGATGCCTCACCTTCCTTCCACTCCACTCCTCACAGGTCCACAGCCTGTGTGAGTTCACCATACACGCACTCCCTCTGTCTCTCTCTCTTAAGTCATAAAGCTCCAGGCCTACACTGGGGGACTTATTTCCAAAGTCAGTGAGATCTGTCATTATCTCTCAAACACATAAAGTTCAGCAAAATGAGCATGCTACAGAAGTCTGTTGTTCAGTACCGTGGAGTCGGTTCCGACTCATAGTGACTCTGCACAGGGTTTCTGAGGCTGTAGATCTTTAATAGGAGCAGAAAACCTCATCTTTCTCCCACACAACCGCTGGTAGTTTTCAACTGCTGACCTTGAGGTTAGCAGCCTGATTCGTAACCACTATGCTGCCAGAGCTCCTGACAGAAGTCTACATATCATTCATTTATAATTTTGAAGAGGTACAAAACAAGCACCACTGTGCTTATTGTTTAGGGATACAAATATAAGTAGTAAAGATATAAAGAAATGCATGGGAATAATAAACACTAATTTCTTAACAGCAGTTATCTTTGGAGGGGAATGCAATCAGAAAGATGCATACAGGGGCTTCAAATACTGTTTGCTAAGACATTATTTCTTAAGCTGAGTAGAGAACTGAAAAGGACTGTTACAATATTTTTATAGGTTTTATACAAGGGAGCTTCAAAAAGTTCACAGGAATTATCTCTTAATTCCATTTTCCACGAACTTCTGGAAGATCTCTCATACACATCAAATATTCCATGATAACTTTTATAATAAGGTGACTCAACGGTGGTATCAGGGAATATGTCTATTTTTTTTTTTTCTTTCTATTTTTGGTAGCAAGATACACAAACCAACCAAATACACTTATATTAAAAATTACTATCTGCACAGATCAATTACACTGGTCACACTGTGTCTCATTCTCACTATCTCTATCCATACTTTCATCATCATTCATTTGGGTTGTCTGCTCTTACAGCTCTCATCTGTGCTTTAGATTAACTGTTGTCAGATTAAGCTCATGTGGATAATTCTTCATAGAGTGCTATGATCAAGGCAAACATTTGTTAGTAACTGTATTAAACTGTTATTTAGTTTAATGGCTTTGTGAAATAGTTTTGGATTAAGGATTAAAGATTATTTCTGGGGGTTAGTTGGGTTCTCCCAGTCTCAATGAATCCAGTAAGTCTGGTTTCCATAAAAGTTTGAAATTCAGTTTCAAGGTTTTTCTGCTTTTCATCAGGCTCCATCTGTTGGGTCCTTGATCAAAACAGATCAAAAGCAGGAGCCGGGCACCACCTGTTTATCCTGGTCTTATGGTAACGAGGTAATAGTTTTTACAGAGGCAATTAAACCTACAATCCATTTCTTTCTCAGATTACTGGGTCTCCTTCTTCCTCTGTTTTTCCAAGCATTCCTTAGTACCAGAAAGAAAGTGGATGGCTAAAGGTTTTACTTACCTTATCACCAAGAGCCTCTCTTTCTTTCTTAAGTTTTTTCTTAGCTGCCAATTTTTCCTAAAGGGTTCAAAAAAAAAGTTTTTAAAGAATATTGAGAAATCATCAATTATATCACAAAAACATCAAGTAACTATAAATTACCAATGCTAAGACTATTTAAACTGGGCAATCTTTGTAAGGTTTTGATGATGGTCAAGCAATACTGATTTCTGTACCAAAGACCTCAATCATTCATAAAAGTCTAAATTGACAAGTTTGAGAATCTAAAATTTCATGTATCTTATAAAACCTCAAATTTAATTAAAGTCCAAAATTCATAGGCAAGTTTTTAAAATTTTTGCTGTTTGTTTTGCTATTCCTAGCCAGTTGCATCCTAAAGAAAGTCATAGCTATACTGTCTGTTCATTTTGGAAAACACTAAAAAAAGGGAAAAGGAAGATGACTTTTTCAAATTGTTTTCAATAAAACTATCATTAGTTATTATGTTATAATCAAGGTATACTTTTAATATCAGTAACAACTCCCATGTTGGTCAGGATTGTTTATAGTGTGAATCTGTATCTTCTTTAGCAGATTTCTGGACATAATACCACATAATTATAAGAATGGATCAGATATCCTACAGCAGCCTGAACTTAAGAGAAGCAAGACACAGTCCTGAGTCTCAAAAACTCCAGTAAGGGAAAGCAGGCAAAGAAAAAGTTTAAGAATGTGACGTTCTATTATGAACAAAAATTTTTTAAATGTTTGCTTTAAATTATAACTTAATCACAATCAGACGCCCTGACCTTGAGCAGGTGACTCATAGCAACCCTATAAAGGATTTTTGAGGCTATAACTCTTTACAGAAGCAGAAAGCCTCATCTTTCTCCTATGGAGTGGCTGGTGGATTAGAACCAATGACCTGCAGTTAGAAGCCCAATGTATAACCCACTATGCAAATGGTGTTCCACAGTGGGCTGCTGTTGTTAAATGTCTTAGATTCAATTCCAACTCATAATGACAGTGTGTAGGGTTTTCAAGGAGCAGCTGGTGGGCTTGAATCGCTAACCTTGCGGTCAGCAGTCCAGTGCTTATGCTACAGTGCCACCACGAAGACAGTGGTTTAATGTATGGGCGATTTCCAAACAGTGTGGCATGTAGTATCTTTTAATTTATCTTACTAGAGATAAGGGACCAGTCACTGGAGAAGGATATCATGTTTGGTAAATTAAGTGGAAGACCAGAGAAAAAGAGGAAGATATCCAGCGAGATGGATTGGCAAAGTAGCAGCATCAATGGGCTCAAGCGTGGCAACAATTGTGAGATTGGCCCAGGATTGGGCAATGTTTTGTTCTGTTGTACATAGGGTCGCTATGAGTCGGTACCGACTCGACGGCACCTAACAACAACATTCAATCTGTATCCTAAGAAAATAATCTGAGAAGCTGGATTATATGAAAAAGAATGTAGCATCAGGATTGGAGGAAAACTCATTAACAACCTGCAATACACAGATGATACAATCTTGCTTGCTAGAAGCAAGACAATTTAAAATACTTGCTGATGAAGATCTAAGAGTACATACAGCCTTTTGTATGGATCACACCTCAATGTAAGGAAAACAAAGATTCTTACAAGTGGATCAATATATAACATCATGATAAAAAGAAAAAAGATTGAAGTTGTCAAAGATTGCATTGTGCTTCGTTCCACAATCAACAGCCATGGAAGCAGCAGTCACACAATCAAACAACATTGCATTAGGCAAATCTGCTGCATAAAACGTCTTTAAAGTGTTCAAGAACAAAGATACCAGTTTGAGGACTAAGGTACGCTTGACACAAGTCAGGATATTTTCAATCACCTTATATGCATGTTAAAGTATGAAAATGAATAAGGAAGACAGTAGAATAATTGATGCATTTGAATTGTGGTATTAGAGAAGAATATTACAAGTACCATGGACTGCCAGAAGAACAAGTAAATCTGTCTTGGAAGAAGTACAACTTAAATGCTCCTTAGAAGCCAGGACTGACAAACTTCATCTCTCATACTCCGAACAGGTTATCAGGAGGGACCAGTCTCTGGAGAAGGACATCATGCTTAGTAACAGTGCAGGGTCAGCAAGAGAGAGGAAGATCTCCAATGAGATGGACTGACACAATGGCAGCAGCAATGGGCTCACACAGAATAAGAATTGTGAGGATGGCGCTGGATCTGGCAGTTTGGTAATCGATTTTGCATGGGGTTATTATGAGTCAGAGTCAACTGGATAGCGCCTGACAACTATGCAACTACTACCATCAACACAGAAGAGTCTGCAGTGGAGTGCATCCTTTGGTCCTGGGGTCTGTGCATTGTTAAGCTCCTAGATGCAGGACATGATTGATGTCAAGACACATGGAGCTCTCTAAGGAATGCTTGGTCTACAGATACTGAAAACAGACAAGGACCTTTCCCCAGAGCCAGTACTCTACATTCAGACTTCTAGCCTCCTAAACTGTGAGAGAACATATTTCTTCTGTTTGCTAAAACCATCCACTTGTGGTAGTTCTGTGATGGCAGCACTAGAGAATGAAGAAACCATCTAAAATAGTGTAATAGCACTGTGAAGGGCAACAAAAGTATTAGCAGAAATTCTTTACAGAACTAACAGTGACATTTTGGATTTATTTATACAAGGGTACTTAAATAATTTGTGAAGTGGAATTAGATGATAAATGGAATTTTCCCATGACCTTTTGGATTGATTCTGCCTGGTAGAGTGCCTCTATCACAGGCTGTCTTTTGGAAGAGGTGCAGTCAGAACGCTCCTAAGAAGTAAGGATGGCTAGACTTGTCTCATGTACTTTGGACATATTATCAGGAGGCACCAATCCCTGGAAAAGGGCATTCATGGTTAAGTAGAGAGCCAGTGAAAAAGAGGAAGGTCCTCAAAGAGATGGACTGACACAAAGCAATGGGCTTAAACATCACAACAATTGTGAGGATGCTGCAGGATACGGCAGTGTTTCATTCTGTTGTGCATAGGGTCACTCAGACCTTGATGGCACCTTAAAATATGAAGAAATGAAGTAAAAGAAGTGAACAAAACATTTTAAAGGACAGTTTGAGGAGACAAAGTATAAATACTGAATGACACAGGACACAGCAAAAGAAGATAGGAGGAATACAAAGAGTCACTTTACCAAAAAGAATTGGTCCATGTTCAACCATTTCAAGAGGTATAATTTTGATCAAGAACCGATGGTACTGAAGGAAGAAATCCAAACTGTACTGAGGGCAGCACTGGCAAAAAACAAGGCTCCAGAAATTGATGGAATATAAATTGAAATATTTCAAAATACGATGCAAAAATGGAGGCACTCATTCGTCTATGCCAAGAAACTTGGAAGAGAGCTACCTGGTCAACCAAATGGAAGAGGTCCATAATTGTGCCAGTTCAAAAGAAAGATGGCCCTATAGAATGCAGAAATCATTGAATAATATTAGTAGTATCACATGGAAGTAAAGTTTTGCTTAAGAATTTAAAAATGGTTGCAGCAGTACACCAACAGAGAACTGCCAAGCGGGATTCTGGTGAGAACTTGGAAGGAGGGTTATCATGGCTATTGTCAGATCATGGCTGAAAGCAGTGGATAACAGAAGATGTTTACTTGTGTTTTATTGACGAGGCAAAGGCATTTGACTGTGTGGATCATAAACAAACTATGGACAATACTGGAAGAATAGGAATTCCAGAACGTTTCACTGTGCTCACAAAGAACCTGTGCTAAGAGGAAGACGACCCTCAACGAGACAGATAGACACAGTGGAAACAACAATGGGCTCAAACATAACAATTGTGAGGACTGAATAGTGTTTCATTCTATTATGCATAAGGTATTATGAGTCATAACTGACAGGGAGGCACGTAACAACATTAGATTCTGGGCATTAACCAACGTAGAGTGGGCCTAGTGTCCTGGTGTGGTGCTGCAGGATAAGCACTGAGCTTCTAACCACAAGATCGAGGATTCACACCACCAGGTGCTCCTCGGAAACCCTATATAGGGTCGCTATGTCAGAACTGACTCCACGGCACTTAACAACAATAACAAATGGGGCCGAATTAAGCGGCAAGATTGAGTCTTAGTCCTACAGGCCAGGAGGGGCTAATTGTGACTAATAGGGGAGGCAAGCAAAGAGCTGACTAAAAAAGGAACCCTCCAAGTTGACTCTCAAGCAAAGATCTGAACTTGGTCTCCAAGCGGAGCATAGGAGCTAGGTCACGTGAGCTGCAGCGTCACACTTTCCAACATTAAGTCGCGACAGCTCGGCGGCCCACGCAGAGGCGATCACGCATGTGCTGCAACCTCTTCTTCACTCCCCTACAGGCCCCTACAGCCTGGGCAAGGACAGCGCGCATGCGTCCACCACACACTTACCTTCCGCTGCTGCTGCTTCCACCGCGTGAACATTAAATGTCGTCGCTGCTTGTTCTTAATCTCCGAAATACTGAAGCCCGGGGGAAAGGCAGCCGATTTCGGGGGTTGGACCCCACCTTCCGCCGTTCCATCACCAGAGACTGTCTCTTGCAGTTCTTCGGAAGCAGTTTTTCGTTTCAGGCCTTTCTTCCCCCCGCCGCTCTTATCCCCGGCTTTCACCATGGTGTTTGATCCTTTGCGTCTTGTACGGAAACGGAAGTAGCTTCTTACTTTGACACTCTTCCTTAAACTTTTACTTCCTGTGTCGCAAAGCTTAACCTTTAAATAATATTGTTATGTACCGCGGAGTCGGTTCCGACTCATAGCTACCCTGTGCAGGGTTTCCGAGGCTGTAAATCTTTACGGGAGCAGAAAGCTTCATCTTTCTCTCGCGCAATGGCTGGTAGTTTCGAACTACTGACCTTAAGATTCGCAGTCCAATTCGTACCAGAGCTCCTTTTTAAACAATGTAGTGAGTTAAAAAGTACTGTATGGCCTGTAAAAAAAAAAAAAAAAAACAAAAACAGAATCAGAGATGAGTAAGTCGCACCTTTAAGTAGAATTCTCAGGAAAGGCCTCACTGAAAAGATTATGTTCAAAGCAAAGCAAACACCTACTTCTAAGGTGACAAGCGGCCATGCTCAAGGAATACCATAGAGACCATTGTAGAAGCATTTAGATGATGGAGGAGAAGATGTGGGAGGAAATTGTTAGGTGCCATCAAGTCCGCACCAACTAATAGTGACAACAGAATGAAACACTGCCTGGTCCTGTGCCAAACTCACAATTGTTGCTACGCTTGAGCCTATTGTTGCTGACACTACGCCAGTCCTTATTGGGGTCTTCTCTTTTTTCGTGGACCCTCTGCTTTACCAAGCATGATGTCCTTCTCCAGGGACTGGTCTCTCCTGATAATAGGTACCAAGAATGATAGACAAAGCCTGGCCATCCTGGCTTCCAAGGAGCATTCTGCTGTACTTCTTCCAACACAGATTTGTTTGTTCTTTTTGTAGTCCATGGCACTTTTAATATTCTGCTCCAATACCATAGCTCAAATGCATTAATTCTTCTACTATCTTATTCACTGTCCAACTTTCGTATGCCTATGAGGTTACATGGCTTGGGTCAGGTGTACCTTACATCGTATAAGGTTTTGTAAGGACTTGGAGTAGTTTGAGAAAAGAAATGGCATGATCTAAGGAGCTCTGGTAGCGTAGTTGTTATTAATTGGGCTGCGAACCACAAGGTCAACAGTTCAAAACTACCAGCTGCTCTGCAGGAGAAAGATGAGGGATTCTGTTCAGGGTCTCTATGGGTCGGAACCGACTCGACGGCACTTAACAACAACAACTTAAGCTTTGAAAGCATTACTCAGAATAGACTATAGGGGAAAGTGGAAAGAGGGGAAAAACAGTGGCTAGAACCAGAGAAGTTCAAAGGAAGGTGATACGTGATTACATTTTTTGAAAGGTAGAATTCCTGACAGAGACAGTCAAGAATAGCTCCAAGGTTTTTGAGCTTCTGGAACGATGGAATTACGTATCATTACTTGAGATGGGGAAGATGACTGCTGTAACAAGTTTGAGAGTTAAGATCAAGATTTCAGTGTTGGAAACGTTAAATTTTAGACACTCATTCATCATCTAATTGTTGTCAAGTAGTCATTTCTTGCTTTATGATTCTGCTGGAAGAGAGGCATATGGGATGGAGATCAATATTTGGGAGTTATCAGTCCTTAGTATTTTCAGCTATTAGAGTGATTATACAAAGAAAACTGAAAAAGAAGACCAAGGTCTTAGCCCTGATGCATTTCCATATGAAGAAATGGCTCAGAAAATAAGTTAGCAAAGAAGAATGAAAAGAGAAGATCAAGATAATGTCATAGTATTCAAGTGAAGAAAGTATTTCCCCAGGTTAAATTTTGTTATATTTTTCATTTTTATTGTACAAAAATTTCCTCCAAGCAGAGATGAAAAATTCCTTTTGGTTTACTATTGTTGTTGTTGTTGTTAAGTGCCGTCGAGTCAGTTCCGATCCATAGCGACCCTGTACAAGGTTTCTGAGGGTGTAAATCTTTACGGGAGTAGAAAGCCTGATCTTTCGAACCACTGACCTTACTATTAGGAGTCAATTTTACAGAAACTACCTTAATTTCAATTTTTTGTTTTGAAATTTGTCTCATTATTTACTTTGTTTTCATAATCTATTTGTGTGTGTGTGCCCATACTGTTATTTTCACCTCTTTGGATTCTTTTTAACAAAAGCATGATTTAACAAAACATCACACATAATAAAAGAGCCATAAAAACCTGCCATCAGTCTGCGAGTATAAAATTGCAATTAAAAAACTAGTCATCATGTTTTGATCCAGAATTGGATTTGGATTATATAATAAAAGAGTTGATGTTGGGCTTTAAAATCATTGCCATGGGGATTTAATAAAGTGTATGCACACTTTATTCAGAGAGGGATAATCAAATCAAAAAGCACGAAGAAAAAGAGTAGAAGACATAAGGAGAAAAGAGATGGAGAAGGAGGAAACAACTCTTGAAAAATATAAATGGAAGATATTTTGGAAGTCTTTTTTAGCTTTAATATTTTATTTCACTAGATACATCTGTTTCTCTTAATACAAAACAATCCTGAAACGATTTAGATAACTACCTTGAATTTGTTCAAAGATGCCATACAAATGAGACCATACACTGATTGATATCTGTTGATGTTGTTAAGTGATGTTGATTCAGTTCCGCTTCATAGCAACCCTGGATAAGGTTTCCGAGGAGCAACTGGTCGTGGTTCAAACTATACTTGTGGTCCAGTGCTTATCCTATAGTGCCACACCAGGACTCCACTTACTATCTAGAATTCCTTTTTCCTATCATTTATATTATTTGTAACAGTTATGTGAGTTGAATGAAAGGATTTACATGATCAGAATAAGATCTCTGTTCTGAAGAAGATATAAAAACATTGGCCAACACAGAGGACTAGAGCTGAGAGTGAAGCATCCAGCTAATATGAAGTGAGGGGAGATGCACAAGAACACCCATACTTGCAGATAGTACCCACTTGACATGGCTTCAATGGCTGGAAAATCAGAACTCGACTAGGAGAAGAAAGAAGAGGAAAAAAAAAAAAATCTGCTACAATTTAATGAACTTGACCTGTACTTATGGATGTAGTAGCTCAAAAGAGGAAACAAATCTTTACAGTGAGGATCATTCCCACCCCCTCGGTACACAGGCTTGACAGGGATGGGCAACTTAGAAATTGGCTACCCAAAAAAAAAGGGGGGGGGGGGGCTACAAAGGCAAGAAGTGACTGGCTTACAAGCTTTCAAGAGGGAGCCTAGTTCCAGAGGGTGTGGGGGAAGGTAGAATCTCGACTGAATGGTTTCCAACCTGTGTGGATGGGGCTGGTGAAAGGAGATGGGGATAAGACTTTTGTGGTTCAATAGTGAATAATTGCTATCAGGACTGATTGTGAATGTTGAAAATGTAAAGGTAGATGATTTTTGTAACAAACAGAAGGGAATAGTTGATTCTTCAGTCCAAGAGCAGAGGGCCCTGGAACCATCAAGGGAGAAGAGCAGAGTGCAGGACCCTATCCAGAGAAGCAGTGATGCCAGAGTTGGAGGCAGAGATGAGATATGGAGAGATGGAGTGGCTGGGGACTCTAGGCTCAGGGAGGGAGAGGGGCTGTGTGCTGGTGGCCAGGGAGTGGAGGGGCAGGCTTGCGGGGGGTGTGTATGTACCCTTTGGTTGTTTGATGATGCATGGAGGGGATTGTAATCATTGCGAATGAAAAACATACAATAGGATGAATGTAAAGCTAATGTTCCCCCATGTAAACCATCACACAATTCACAATAAAAACTCAAAAAATAAATAAGAAAAACAATAAAACATTGGCCAATTCAGCAAATATGAATTGTTGTTGTTGTTAGGTGCCATCCTCCACCCAGAGGAGAGGTGAGGGGAGATGCACAAGAACACCCATACTTGCAGATAGTAACCATAGCGACCCTATGCACAACAGAATGAAACACTGCCTGGTCCTGGGCCAACCTCACAATTGTTGCCATGCTTGAGCCCATTGATGCTGCCACTTTGCCAATCTATCTCGCTGGGGTCTTCCTCTTTTTCTCTGATGCTCCACCATACCAAACATGATATCCTTCACCAGCGACTGGTCCTTACTGACAATATATTACTGCTACTTAATAGATGTCTAGTGAGGGTGGTATGATGGAAACTTTATTCACAGACTTATGTTCAGATCTTGACTCATTCACTTCAATGCTGTAAAGTCTCAGGTAAATCCATCTCTGGGAGCCTCAATTTTTTTCATCTGTAAACGGGGACTAGTGATATTATTACATATTTTTACAGGTTATTGAGAGGAATAGAGATGAATATTAAAGAACTGACACACCTGAATAATGCAAAATTGCCACTTTTATTAATTCTAAGTATCACGGCACTTAACAACAACAACAACAAGTATCAGATATTGTGCTAACATTGCTAGGGAAAAAGACAATGTTTGCCCTCAGTTTGGAAGATGAAACACAATTATAGTATAGTCAATATTGAAGAGAAAAAGCTTACCTTGAGGTCCATTTCAACCATTTGATTTTTATTGCTCTTCTTTATCCATTATTTCTATGACCCATCCCCAATGGGTTATGATGTTGTTGTTATTGTAAAGTACTGTTGAGTCAGTTCCAACTCATAGCGACCCTGCATAGTGTTTCCAAGGAGCAGCTGGTGAACTCGAACCATTGACCTTGCGGTTCAAACTGACCTTGTAGTCTAGCACATCAACTCACAGTGCCACACCAGAACTCCAATAGGATATAGTGTTTTATTTTAAGTAAAACATTTAATTTTAGTATTTAATAGACTTTTGCTTTGTTTTTGATTATTTGTTTTATGACATTTGGGGTTCTCTGGAACACAACTTGTGTTTTATTCAAGCAAGATGAGTCCAGTGATCCAAACAAATAACATGAAGAAGATTCTTTTAAGAAATGTTGATCTATTGTTTTATAATACAACTTAAGTTCTGTATAGCAGAGAAACCATTCCAAAGGTACACACAAAAAAATGAATCCAGTGCATGCAAATAAGAGATAACCAATTTTGAAGTATGCATGTTTTTATTCACAATGTGATACATCCTTTGGC